GAGATCAATATACTTAACATTTCTAATATTAATTCTTATATATACCAGGGAATGGAAAGTTACTTTTTAAAAGTAAAAAGAATTTGATCGAAAAAGTACTTGTTCCTATGTTAGACTCAAAATTTTTTTAACGATCTCGTAGATATTTTTCTACAAATAGTTTTCATATATAACTTACTTACCAAATTATTGTTAGTACTATACATAGATGGAAGATTGTCATAAAGAATGCAAAACAAGTTATTTGCAAGTTTTTCAAAAATAAAAGGCGTGTTATTTCGTTGTATGAAATTACGATTATAGCAATATCGACTGTCATAAAGCTCCTCATGATAATTTTGACAGTACGAAAAGGCAGATAAATGAGAATGATTACAATCGATATCGCAGCAGCAATTGATGTTGCAAGAAGATGTCTGCACAAACAAAATGGAAAATTGTATTATATATATAAAATATAATATGTATATAATAGAGTAACTATATTATTCGATATACATGTATCAATTGTTAGTATAAGTAAATTTAAATAATACAATATTTTTACATCATATTATAATTCAAATTAGAGATGCACCAGATATCCGGAAAATATCCAACATTTTTTCACTATCCGGTCGGATAGCTGTACTTTATAAGTACAGTAAACATTGATATTCAATAAAGTTGAAACATGTAATTTTGTATTGTATTTTGTAATGTTTTTATTTTTCTTATTTTCTCTGCTATTATTTTTTATATCTTTTTAATTATATTTATGTGAAACGAGCAATGGAGATTTATTATGTTTTTTTACTTTTAGCCTTTTATATCACGTTGTCGTATTTCGAATATTAAGAATCCTGTTAATTTAAGTTTATAACATAATCGCTTTCTTTTATTTAACAAAAGAGTAAGCAAGACCAAATTTTACCTCGCGATGAAACCTAAACTAATTTTTAAAAATCTTTCGTGAGGTCTTAAGAAGTATGAAAATAATTTATTTATTTGAGAAGTGGGAAAGTTATAAGAATAGCGCAGTAAGCTGTTAGGGTTTAATATTGGGGAAAACCAAGAATGCGTTTTAGACACTCAGAGGCCGAGAACACTCGACGGAGGCGGAGAAAACTCCATCCATTTACTACTGTCGAGATGGTTTTAAGGAACCGATCGTCGAGAAAAACGATAGAGCACTCTCTATCCCTGGAATTATATCGGTGCGCAGAAAACGGCGACAAGCAAACCGGCGGCCGAGAACGCTCGACGTGACAGAGTACACTCCGTCACGGAAACTCCCGTCGGTGCAGTCGCACTGGTGCTCGTTGATCGGCGACCGAAAACGCTCAGTAAGACAAAATATACTCTGCCTCAGAGATCCCCGTCGATGACGTAGCGGTTTCTAGGATATGCCAGTCGGTTGCGATCGAGAACTCTCGATAGTGGCAAAATACTCTCTACCACTTTTCTATGTTCGCGGCCGGAGGATTCGGAATTGGAAGATAGCGGAATAGGAGTAGGATCGATACAGAAAAGAAAAGAAACCACGCGTAGAAAAAAACGCGGCTTTTATAATAATTGTTGTTCCCGCTCGTATTGTTCCGGAATCGTTCGGCGATTCCCGCTGGTTAACAATACGAGTGGGAGACAACGGAATTCGGCGGAATTCGTGTGTATTCGGAGATCTCCAGCGGAGTAGCTGTCACTTGTGAATTATCTTTAGATTTGTTAAAAAAATGTGCGGGCGGACCGCGTTGCATCCCACTGATGGGTGCGACGGCATTCTGCTAGAGTTTCTGCCGGGGACGATGCAGTTTTTAGGGGTGCATCGTTACAATTTTATATACGCTTCCTGAATATTTGCAAAATATAAGATATGTTTATATATGAACCAATAAGTGTTACCGATTGGTTTCTAAGTTTCCACGTATAAACCAATATTAAAGCCTAATAGCTTACTGCGCTATTCTCACAATTTTCTCACCACTTCTCGGATAAATGATAGTTATTTTCTTACTTCTTGAGATCTAACGAAGGATTTTTAAAGATAGTTTAGATACCATATATATCGCAAGGCAAAATTTGGCCTTATTTTATTCCTTCAATATTTTATACTAAAAATGATACTTGCACGTACAATCAAGTCACATTCGCATATCTCTTTTTTTTCGAGTGTAAGAATTTCATAACCACTTGGACGCACTACTGGCGAGGATATTGTTGTGAAAGTTGACTGTACTTCTAGTTGCTCTGTTGAGTTGATATTTATTCTTGAAGATATTATTTCTGTTGGAATGGTAGTAGTGAATATTTTATCTTCTTCTGTATCATTTGATAAGTCCTTTAAAGATGGATTATCAATTTCAGGAATCTGTGTATATATAGTTGAGTTTATTGACTCCTTGCAGTCTGTGTCATTTGTACAGATTGATATATCTTCTATTTTCATTACTTCTACCACATTAATACATGTTAATAGTAATGAAAGAAAAAACATTGTTGTAAATATTATTGATATTGTTTATGCATTATATCAACATAAATATTTGCTCGAAATTAGATCTCTTTCTTAGATCTGCTAAGACTTTCTAATTGAAGATTGCTTATGCACTTTCCATTGCTTTTATAATCACTGTTCACAACTGACATCCAAATTTATCGAAATTTCTTGTCAAGATATGTAACTGAACGATCACTGTTCCCATGCTTTGTGTTAATATTTCAAACCTATCTAATGTGTTTATTAAAACACTAGGTGATTTTAATTGTAAACTATTTCCTAGAAATTTATCATATAATCTGTCCTTCCAAGTACCTGTATAAAAGTTTAATAAACTTTTATTAGAACAATGATAAATTTTGTTAATAAAATGTGTTATGAAATTTTGTGTACTCAGTGCATATACCAATAGGTTTCCATGTATGACAATCTAAAACATAAGAACCAGATGATACTGGAACATTATATACTCCATATGAAAGAAATATTATCCTTCCATAATTATCTCTACCAAACACTTGTAATAGTAACTTCGGAGAATTTTGTATAGTCTGAGTTGTGTAATGTAAATCTACCGGATGATCCCAAACTGGATTATTAGTATAAAAATCGCAGCTCTCTTGCGTTTGTCCTTCCTCATGTCCTGATATGATTTTCCAACCATTACCTACAATAAAAACAAAATTTATTGACATGATAAATCTATTTCTATTAACTAATAAACATGGGCTTATTTCTCCTACCAACGTAAAAATTCCATTTACAGAGTAGATTTGATTGTTTAAAATTTTTTGCAGATGAAACTTGTCCAACTATATGCAACTCAGCCATCCCATGAAATCATGTTGCAACTTATAAAATATACAAAATATAGTAGTGTAGGATATATATTTATCCATAATGATCTTAATAAACAAAAAACACTTACTTATGGATCTATTGCAAAAAAGGACGGATGATAAAATGAGCCGATTTTTGTCTCAAAAATGTAATAAAAGTTATACATATAATTTTCCTTTTTTTGGGCCGCTGAATATAATAGTAACACTTTTATCCATCCATGAGAAAGTGATTAAAATTCGCATTAATTTTTTATAAGCAAAACGAAATTTTCATTGAAATTGAATAAAATTTCTACATAAACCGCTCAATATCTTTTTATTCACAACTGATAGCTGTTACTGACTGATGAATTCCAATGTTGACAGACGCGTCGCTATGACAACGCGCTAATAATAACAGGTTCGTTCATTTACGTGCTCATAGGGAGTTAATCATTAAGGCTTAAACACAATAGGCACAGGCAATGGCTGCGTTCAGCAGAGAAAGCAGCTTTGCAACTGTTGTAAAATTCTTTAATATGATTGGTCTTGCCCTTAGTTCCTCATTGAATCTAAATGTATAAATCAATCATAATTAAGAATTTTACAACAGTTGCAAAGCTGTTTTCTCTGCTGAACGCAGCCAATAAGCTATAGATATCTAGATTGCTGATGTCCTTGTGGGACTCCCACCACACATTCGTGTCATCACGCGCCATGTTAAGTGAAAAAGTTCCGACGCATACGCACTAAACCGTTTCGTGGATTAATACAACGAATTGTTAAAATAATTTCTCAATATACGTTTCTAAAAAAAAAGAAAAATATGCATTTTATTTACATATTTTATAAAAGTCTCTCTCAAGAATATTAGAACTAAACCGATCGCTGAAGTTTATGTAAATCAGGTAATTTCTAGGTTAATTTTGTACATATATATAACATTATTGTGAAACAATCCAATAATCATAATTAATTTTTTTTAAAACATTCCTGTTTTCAATTAGGAATAAAATTATTGTAGTAATAGATATTAGCAGTCTAGTACAATATATACTGATATATACATATATATTTATATGATTTAAATATTAAAAAAAATAGATAACAAAAATAAATAACAAATGCGATATATATATATATATATCAACTATGCCTCATCTCATTTGTTAGTTACTTATTTATTTTTGTTATCTTATTTTTTTTAATATTCAAATCTTTATTGTTTCTGTTAGTTAGTACATATTATAAATCATATCCAAGAAATGGAAGTAACTTATTACTTGTAACGAAGTTACAGGTACAAGTTAATTTTTGATAAGTTTACTGGTAACTGCATTACTTTTTGTTTGGTACCTGTAACGATAACGTAGTTACATTTTTTTGGTAACGGTAACGAATTTTATAGTTACTTTTATTGTTACTTTGCACACAATTGAACACGATTCGATTAGACACAAGCCTCTCATAGTGCTTGAGAACATTAGAAAGCCCCTAGGCACTTATTTGCTGTGATTATGGTGGTGATCGATTTTTAAAAAGTAACGGAAAGGTAACGAAAAGTTACTTTCTCAAATAACGGTAATTGTAACGAATTACTTCCATTAAAAATCAATAATTAGTAACAGTAACTTATTACTTTTTTATTCGGTAACGAGTAACTGTAACTTGTTACTTTTCAAAAGTGACTTTCCATTCCCTGATTGTATCAAGTGTAAAAGTGAACAATAATAAAGTAAATGAGGTAATTGTATTATGGAATTAAAGTTCTTTGATTAAATATATTATTGAACTTGATTCGAATTCCCTAATTTTATTCTTGGCACCACGTATATGCATTGTCGAAAAGTCGTTGCCATGGTGAGGCTTCATAGTTCCATTCTGCTGGTTTCCAAGGCCATTGCCACATTTGTGTACACCTCTCCGGATGCGGCATCATTGCCAAGTGCCGACCATTTTTAGAACAAATTCCAGCAATTCCATTTACGCTACCGTTCGGATTCATAGGATAGCGTTCAGTTGGATTTCCATAATCATCCGTATATCTGTTAAAAATGCATACAGAATGACTATGTTTATACGTCACCATAATTTCGACTTACTAAGTAGTAATGCTGATGTTATAACTCCTACTTAAGCGAGTCACGTTTACACGTTCAGGAACATTGATATTATAATTTCTAAGTTATTAAAAATGTCATCTGCTCGAAATCTTTTTCTGTCTAAACTTCTCATTCCTTGCCATTCTCTCATCAATTTGAGAAAATATCGAGTTACCTCGGTTTTCTAACTTTCGCGGTTTTTCGTTTCCATATTTTTACCTTATTTTTTTAACCTATATGTTTACGCGGCTCGATTTACGTCGATTACACGTCTTTTTTATGTCAATGTTATAACTCTAAGCCTCTTCATCAAATAACTTTGAGTTATTACATCGAAGTAATAATTCCGTCTTAATATAGCGTTTATACAACATCTAACGTCAGTAGTTATAACATTGATGTTATAACTTCGGCATAAATCGAGCCGTGTAAACGTAGTCAATGATATACAAAATGTATTTATACTTTTAAAATATTTGTTATATTCACAGAATATGCATACATATGCGTAATAATTTATCATAGACAAGAAAATATACAAAATGTATTTATACTTGTAAAATATTTGTTATATTCACAGAATATGCATACATATGCGTAATAATTTATCATAGACAAGAACAGTTCGACATCAATTTTATGTCTTTTTATTACATGCAAATAATCGAAGTGAGTAGTCTAGTTATAGAAATCTGTGGCGGTACCACATATCACATACATCTCGAGGAAGTTAAAATGTGAGTACATACCTGATTGCTACGCAGTTATTCTGCTCAAGAGTTTTCAGAACTTCCTCGCGAAAAGTGAATCTTCCCTCTCCATGAGCCACCCATACACCTAACACACTATTCTGCATGTCTTTTAACATAATTGATGGCGAGTTCTCAATTCTAACAGTGGCCCATCTGCACTCAAATCTTTCTGAGAGATTATGATCCAAACAAATTCCTGATCTCTCTCCGTCTTTAGTATCTTCGTCGCCAATCCAGCCTAATATGCTCATTAATTGACAACCATTGCAAACACCCAAACTGAAAGTATTTTCACGAGCAACAAATCGCCGTAATTGCTCACGTAAAGATGAATGAAAAAGGAAACTGGCTGCCCATCCCTTTGCGGAACCACAAACATCGGCAAAGCTGAAACCACCAGGGAAGATAACGCCTCTAAAGACTTCCAATATAATTTGGTTTTCCAGCAAATCTTGCATTGTAACATCCCAGACATCGAAGCCCGCTTCCAACAGAGAAGCTACCATTTCTCTATCTCCATTAATCCCTTCCTCACGTATGACGGCTACCTTAACACGTTCTGCTATATCCTTTAGTATTGGACGAGATCTAGCAGGATCAAAATCTAAGCGATAAGCTGGAACAGTTCGTTCTCTTAGCTGGGAAAATTCTTCTAATGCACAAGTGACATTTGTTTGACGGCGTTCTAGTTGATAACTAGTTTCTTCCCAAATGCTCATTGAATCAATTACTGTAGTGCTTAATACAATTTCATTTCGAACTTTAACGACCACCTCAGAGTTCATTCCAAGGCCTACAGACTTTCCGATTAAAAATACTGGAACTCCGTAGCATTGTAACATTTTCACTGCTTCATCTTGGTATTTTTCATCGACTTCTAATACCCAACCAAGCTCTTCGCAAAATAAAACATCAATAGCAGAATCAGGTTTATGAGTTATATTAACGTTGATTCCTGAGATTCCAGCAAAGCACATTTCTAGAAGACATGTAATCAGTCCTCCATCGCTAATGTCATGACCGGCGAGAACTTTTTTGTCGGCTATTAACTGCTGCGTAGCAATAAAGGCGTTCTTGAAAGTTTGCACGTCTTCGATGTCCGGCACATCATTGCCTAATTGACAATATACCTGAGACAAAGCAGTTCCTCCAAGCCGACTCTTGCCATAAGACAAATCAATAAAGAGCAGACAACCTTGTCGTCCTATAATGGGAGCTTTGAGATCCGGAGTGATTACTTGACAAATATCAGGACACGGTGCATAACAAGATATGACGAGAGTGCCGGGTGCCTTTACAATATCCTCATTGATACGTGCAGCCATGCTAAGTGAGTCCTTACCGCCATCGATCGCAATCCCAAGTTCCTTCATTAGAGAACACATTGCTGAGCAAGCCTTGTATAGTGCTGAACCTTCACCTGGAAGTTTTGCCGGCCACATCCAATTGCCACTACACTTGACATCTTGCAATACAGAAATTTGCGCAAACACTAGATTGCTAAGTGCTTCAGCTACTGTCATTCGAGCGCCGGCTGCATCGTTGACTAATCCTTTAATTGGCTGTTCACCAATGGAAGTGGCGATGCCTTTCGTAGAAAAATGCGAAATGGCTGTCACAGCAACGTCTGCCAGAGGAGTATGCAATGGACCAACACATTGTTGTTGAGCAACTAAGCCAGTCACGCAACGATCTACTTTATTCGTCAGATACCTAGCAAAATTATAATAGTTTTTAGATTTTTCTGTATCATATTCCTGTATTATATTAGGTATACAAAAGAATTCAAAAAATTAAAATAAAAACGGCTAATCCGTATCAAAGACACATATGGTATAGCGCGCAAACTTAAAATACAATAAAAACAAATACTTAAATTTACGTTTCAGTTCTTTATTTGATCTATCTTTAGAATGTTGTAAGAAACAGGTTCAATATAGTCAGAAAAGTGGTAACAAAATCCAAGTACAAAAATGGAAAGGAGAAAATTATATTGTCGAGAGTGAAAACTCCCTGACTAAGGAGATGCCAAAATTTGGAATGTTGAAAAAAAGTCCAAATCTTAAACATGAATATCACTATAATTTAAAGAAATTTTTCTTAACAAAGTAAAGTAAGATTTTATGTATCATTTGTATGAAAGTTTTGATATCAACAACAGGCACCAAGTTAAATCCCAACCATACTAAATTAAATAAAGAATACAATCCAAATGATACTATTTTTCAAAACCCATCATGTCATATGGTTCGAGGAAAACGCCCGCCAGTAGACCGCATCGCGAGAACGATCGCGATTCGTACTTGGCCTATACCCGCGTTCACGAAAACCAATCAGCGACATGTCGAACCGCACAGCTGATTATCGCTGACCGACCAGAGACTGTCGAGCTATTTCCGCGCAAAAGTCAGGTAGTTACACATTTGCATTTCTTTTTCTATTAGTATAAATATAATAAAATAATAAAAGATATAGTAATATAAAACACAAAACGTACCGTTTACTAGCAACCGAAGGAAGCCTTAAAACTCTATCCAACACGCTAAGTACAGTTAATCCATCAGGCAGATTTATTGGAAATTTCTGTACCGACATATCATGTAATTTGAAAACCTTGCGTGGCATTTTTCCAAGAATTACTTCCAGCTCTAGATTCACTGGATGCTTACTGCTATCTAGATTCTTATCCTCGTAATTAAGATATTTTGAAATATCCCAATTTTCTTCCTCAGAAACAATAATTTTCCCATTTCCAGTGACAATGCCAACAAAATTAATCGGACATTTTTCACGTGCAGCAATTTTCTTCAGTAACACGCTGTCTTCTGATTTGCATAAAATTGCATTGCTCTCCTGATATTCTGCACCCCAAAGTTCTAACGTGCTTACACTAGGATCCCCAAGATCAAAATTCTTTGTGAAGATCACAGCACCGGCAGGCTCCACTAACTCTTTTAAAACGTTTCCGTTACCACCAGCACCTTGATCGTGGATACTAAGGATTGGATTGCTATCACCCATCTCTGCGCACGCACGCACAACACGATTTAATTTTTGCTCCATCTCGGGATCGCCCCGTTGCACAGCACCGAAGTCTAATTCCATACTATTATCACCCTGCACTTCCATGGAACTTGCTGAACCTCCACCTACACCAATTCTATAAACAGGTCCACCAATTTTGGCTACTTTCATACCTCGTTTTGCTAGAATCTGAAGCAAACATAACAACATTATATTAACAGTAATTTAGAATTTGTCAGATGAATAAGTATATAGCTCGGAGATGTGATTCACGAATTAAAACGTATTTATAATCCAAGAAATTTTTCTTTGATTGAAAAAAATAAGACTCTCTTTCAATCCCGTATTTGAGACAAAACAGGATATGAAGCTCTCAAATTCGTTTTGGACTGAACAATAAACTCGTGTTCTGTCTAAATTTGCGAATATACTCATTCTAGAATTAGTTAATCGACTCGCGTGGAGCAACTCATATCTTATAGAACTTTATCATAGAAAAGACCGAGCTACATTAATTATAATTGTTAAATTACAAGACTGAACTGTATAATCATAATTTTAATTATACAAATTGTGCCTTTGGGCGTTTATTAGTTGTAAACTTTAATTACAGAATATAGGGTGTCTCAAAAAATGTGACTGAAACACAGTGGGGACATAGATTGGATCAAGGGGAACAAAACAGTTTTGTACCATTTTGCAGTTGACGCAATATTTAACGAGATATTAACGTTTAAAGATAGGCGAATACGAGCGTCCGACCAGCTTACTGATCATGTACTGCTGCCGGCAGGACGGCCTACCGTCCCCACCATGACGCGCCGGTCGAGCGGCGGGGC